AAATTAAATATTTAATTTTACTCAAATGCTCGAGTTCACAACAAGGAACAAACACATCTAGAAATGTAAACACACTGCAAAAAAAATGAAGTCTCAATAAGTAATTTTATCTTAAAATAAGTGCATTTTTTCTTGAGTTAAGGATTTAAGTGAGACACTTTGCCAATGGAACAAGACAATTTACACTTAAAATAAGAAAAAAAACAACTGCATTGTCTTATTTCAAGTGCATAATATCTAGATAGCTTATTTTAATAGTATAAATACTCATTCCATTGGCAAATCATCTTATTTACCAGTTCAAATTAAGGGTAAATACCCTTAATTTAAGGCATTTTTACTAATTTTGAGATCATTTTTGCAGTACACTTTTGCATACATTTTTTGACAGTCATCTAACCCCATAGAATAAAGGTTTAATCCACTTTTCTACTATTGCTGGATGTATTTGGTGAACAGCTCTGCTCTTATGTTCGTTTAGATCATTCACCGTCTGTCGTTTTCATTTATTTTCAATTTACAGAACAATATTTGACAGGACAGTTAATAATGCAACATGACTCTATAGATGCTAACAAGGATCTCCAAGTTTCAGGAATTGAAAACATCTTAGTGTTATTGGACATTTTTAACTTGAAATACCCCCTTCGCATCAATGGCCCCTGCAAGGGCCCCTGTGTTACAGCTGTAATACTTAATAAAGTTCTTTTGAATATATGTACTGGGACAGATCAGTTGGACCTATTTCATATTTATACCCTCACACTTTTATTTCAACAAGGATTCAAAATTGAAGGTGTTTTTGCTACCATCCTACTGAGACAAGGTCACTGTTTCAGGTTCTGTTTTCTGGCCGATGAGCCATCTTTAAAAAGCTGTCATGGTCCCAGAATGCATTGGAATACAAACTACAGGCGTGAAGTACTTTCACACCACTGACTGTAATTAATATTGTTAAACTTTCATCCACTCGTTAATGACTGAGGAACAAAGAAGGATTTGATGGATTCAAGCAGCAATTCAGTTCCTAAAGATGGCGTTTCCTATGTTGATGTGTTGTCCTCTGATAAAAGAAGTATTCAAAACCTTTCGTCCAGCAGCTGGAGGAAATAGAAGCTCAGGTATCGAAACGATTCAGTAGGCAGGTCACACATCAAGCTACACGGAGGGAAGCTAAGAAAATGGCTGCCCGACTCGTGTCTGTTCTCTGGGTC